ACGAAATCTGCACATGGAGGTTCACAAAGTGCTGCGCCTGCCACGAAATCTGCACTTCAAGACAGAAGAGAAAACTCTAATCACAATGGAGGGACGTCCGAGCATGATCCGACCATGATCCGAGCATGATCCGACCATGACCCGAGACCGTCTCGCAACCGTCGTTCCGTGGAGCTTCCCCGTCAAGGTTCGGAGAAGCATGGAGGTTCACAAAGTGCTGTGCCTGCCACGAAATCTGGCACATGGAGGTTCACAAAGTACTGCACCTGCCACGCAATCTGCGCGTGGAGGTTCACAAAGTGCTGTGCCTGCTACGAAATCTGCACATGGACCTTCACAAAGTGCTGTGCCTGCCACGAAATCTGCAAATGGAGGTTCACAAAGTGCTGTGCCTGCCACGAAATCTGCACATGGAGGTTCACACAAAGTGCTGTGCCTGCCACGAAATCTGCACATGGAGGTTCACAAAGTGCTGCGCCTGCCACGGAATCCGCACAAATTGCTGCGCTTGCCGCGAAATCTGCACATCGATGTTCACAAAGTGCTGTGCCTGCCACGAAATCTGCACCTCGAGGTTCACAAAGTGCTGCACCTGCCATGACATCTGCACATGGAGGTTCACAAAGTGCTGTGCCTGCCACGAAATCTGCACATGGAGGAAATCTGCGCCTCGAGGTTCACAAAGTGCTTCGCCTGCCGCGAAATCTGCACATGGAGGTTCACAAAGTGCTTCGCCTGCCGCGAAATCTGCACATGGAGGTTCACAAAGTGCTGTCCCTGCCACGAAATCTGCACGTGGAGGTTCACAAAGTGCTGTGCCTGCCACGAAATCTGCGCGTGGAGGTTCACAAAGTGCTGTGCCTGCCACGAAATCTGCACATGGAGGTTCACAAAGTGCTGTGCCGGCCACGAAATCTGCCACGAAATCTGCACTTCAAGAAACAACTGAAACCTCTAATCACAATGGAGGGACGATTCCGACCATGATCCGAGCATGATCCGAGAGTGACCCGAGACCGTCTCGCACACATCGTTCCACAAAGCTTGAACTTTGTGAACCTCCATGTGCAGATTTCGTCGCAGGCACAGTGGAGCTGGAAGCTGAGAACTGGCGACTTCGTAGTACAGCTTTAGTGCGCGGAGTGTCTGGGGAGCAGGAAGATGAGAACTGGCGACTTTGTAGGACAACTTTAGTACGCGGAGTATCTGGGGAGCTGGAAGATGAGAACTGGCGACTTTGCAGTACAACTTTAGTACGCAGAGCAATCTGTGGAGCTGAAAGCTGAGAACTGGCGACTTTGTAGTACAACTCTAGTACGCGGAGTATCTGGGGAGCTGGAAGATGAGAAGTGGCGACATTGTAGTACAACTTTAGTACGCGGAGTATCTGGGGAGCCGGAAGATGAGAACTGGCGACTTTGAGTGCAACTTTAGTACGCGGAGCAATCTGGCGAGCTGGGAGCTGAGAACTGGCGACTTTGTAGTACAACTTTAGTACGCGGAGTATCTGGGGAGCTGGAAGATGAGAACTGGCGACTTGCTAGTACAACTTCAGCGGAGCAATCTGTGGAGCTGGAAGCTGAGAACTGGCGACTTTGTAGTACAACTTTAGTACGCGGAGTATCTGAGGAGCTGGAAGATGAGAACTGGCGACTTTGTAGTGCAACTTTAGTACGCGGAGTATCTGGGGAGCTGGAAGATGAGAACTGG